AATTCTCTTGATAAACCTCTCTTCTGGTCTCCAAATAGCTGAGAAGAAAGTAGTAGGTAGGCTGTGTCCCATCTGTACTTAAACGAGCAGAAATACAAGGAGATTAGGGAGAAAAAGATTTCCTTCTAGTCTTTCAGCAGGTGCTGGCATGGCTGCCGACGTCAGTACCCAGTTGTCTGGTACACAGCTCACCACAGACACAGAAGTGTCCAGGCTTTTCATGCTCACAGGATTTTCTCCACTTAAAGTGCCCCTGTAATAGGATGTGTCAGGAGGGGAATGAAGAAAGGGAAAGGACACCTCAGTGAGATAAAAGGGTCTTACCTGGATGAAGTGCCTAAAAAAATTATCAAGATCAGTGACCCAATTTCTTTAGCCAAAATATCAGGACACATGGCTTGAAAAGTGATTGAAAGTTTATCTATAAGTGTTACCAAACCTGAAAGGGTGTAACTGTGCCAATTAAGTTGCACATCAGGATTTGCAGTAATAAAAATTAGGTTTTAATTGAAAGGTGCTAGTAAAGGAGAATGAAAAGCTAGTGCTTTTAAAACCCAAACTCCACAATGTCTTAAAATCTCAAGCACTTATAGAGCAAAAAGTATGCGTAGGAGTCTCACGAGTCATGTGAGGATCTGACGGGCTCGCTGTGAAGGCAGCACAATTATTTCTGGCAACTTGAATAATATTTTTCTTGGCTGCATCAAATCTGGGGAGTGCGTGTGTTTCAGCAGGTCAATGGTCTCTGGTGGTCTAGCTTCATCTGCAAAATAAACTTACAACTGGCATCAGAGATGACTGATATCAGAGATGTTATCACAGACAATTTTTCAAGGAAAAAACATCTTGTGACCCTAAGTCACTATCAGTTATTATTATTATTTTATATTTAACTGGCTACATTTCGTTTAAGAAAAGCAGGACATCTTTTAAGTAACTTCTCATACACTTTTCCCAGCTGTAAGCTCCCACACTTGTTTATTGACACTTAAGTGCTTTACTGCCATACTGGCCACAGGCTAACTCTTAAACTAAGCAAAATATATATTTCTAATATTAAATTATGAAATCAAATTGAATATGTGGCTGTTGGTTTCATAAGAAAGCTCTCACAAAGAAAAATATCTCATTGACTGCATGGTTTACTTATTCAATCCCCTTAAAGGAGTA